GTTCCCTTCACTGACCTTCGTACTGCCCTATTTCGTTCTAGTCCGCCTTGTTTGTCTCCTTCTGTAATTCCTTCCCCTCCTGAGTCGGCTCTCACTGCTTCCCTCTCTACTCCTCTCACAGACTACTACCGCACGTACCGTCCTGTTCTCTCTCGTGTTCTCGCCTCTCTTGTTACCGACCCACATGCTTCTCTGTCCTCTGTCTCTGCTCTTACTGCTACAGTCAATGAGTTTCCCTCTACTCGCTGCCTTGACTACGCCACCAGTCTTGTGGCTGCTCCTCCTACCAGTCCTCTGGTCGTCGGGGGTGAGTTTGCCCTTGGCTGTGACGCCCTAGAGGACAGGCAGTTTAAGCTGGAGTTCCTGGCAGCCGCTTCCCCTCATCTCTGTGCCATGCTGCTCGCCCCTGAGGGAGACCCCGACGCCCTTGACATACTGACTCCTCGCACTTACGCTGAGGCAGTGTCAGGGGCCTTGCGCCTCTCAGTGGAGAGCTGCCATAGACTCAGAGATGGCCTCCTACAGATCCACAGGCACCTACGTCGACGAGGTTCCCCCCCTTGGGGCGAACGTAGTCGATGGCATGTGGATCTTCAGGGTGAAGCGGCCACCGGGATCTCCTCCGGTCTTCAAGGCGCGCTATGTGGCCAGAGGTTTCAGTCAGCGCGAGGGAGTTGACTTCTTTCATACCTTCGCGGCTACCCCGAAGATGTCCACTCTTCGAGTGTTACTGCACGTAGCAGCATAGAGAGACTACGAGTTACACTCTCTTGACTTCTCCACTGCTTTCCTTCAGGGTAGCCTACACGAGGAGGTCTGGTTACGTCGTCCCTCTGCCTTCACTGGCACTTTCCCTCTTGGGACCCAGTGGAGGCTTAGGCGACCGGTCTACGGTCTCCGTCAGGCTCCTCGTGAGTGGCACGACACCTTTCATTCTACCCTTTCTGACCTTGGTTTCCACCCTTCTTCTGCCGATCCTTCGCTGTTCGTTCGTCGTGGCTCCACGCTGTTCTTTGTACTGGTCTACGCCGATGACCTGGTTTTCGCCACTGGTGACAGGGTTGCTTTGGCTGACGTGAAGCTCGAACTGCAGAAGAGACACACTTCCAGTGACCTTGGTGAGCTGCGCCACTACCTTGGCCTGCAGATCACCATGGACAGAGCTGCTTGCACCATTACACTCTCACAGTCACACATGGTGCAGCAGGTCCTTCAGCGGTTCGAGCTTCAGCACTCTACTGTACAGCGCACACCTCTTGCCGTTGACCACGGACTCACCGGACCCTTTCCTGACGAGCCGTTCGAGCCTAGTGGTCCTTACGCAGAGCTTGTGGGCTGCCTCATGTACCTGATGACTTGTACTCGCCCGGACCTCGCCTTCCCTCTCAGCATCCTTGCTCGCTTTGTTGTGCCAGGGAGACACCGTCCAGTTCACTAGACAGCTGCCGTGAGGGTGGCGAAGTTCACTGGACATCAGGCGTGGGGCTGGTTCTTGGAGGGAGACAGGACGTCGTGCTTACTGGTCACTGTGAATCTTCTTACGCTGACGACGTCGAGACGCACAGGTCTACTCAGGGGTACTGTTTCAGCCTGGGCTTTGGAGCTGTTTCGTGGAGGTCCACACGTTCCTCCTTGGTCTCGACCTCTACTGCTGAGGTCGAGATCTACGCTGGAGCTATGGCTGCACAGGAGCTGCGCTGGCTGACGTTCTTGCTCACTGACCTTAGTGAGCGGCCGAGCTCTGCGCCGACCTTGTTCACTGATAACAAGGCGATTATTCTCCTCTGTCGAGAGCCACGACTGGAGAGAAGAGTGAAGCACATTAACGCCAGGTACTTTCTTCTGCGAGAGTTGCAGAGGCGTGGACATGCTCGTTTCGACTTTGTTGAGTCCGAGGCCAACACTGCAGACATCTTCACCAAGGCCCTGCCGCCTTGTGGCCTCCAGAGGTGTTGTGTGCAGTTAGGTCTCGTTGACACAGGTTCTCTCCTTGCATAGTCTTGAATTCTCTCATTGCTTTGTTTATACACTTTACATATACCTCTGTGAACTCTTGAACTAGCCTTGTGGCTCTTTTGCTTGTGCTCGGAGTGTGTGGTGACGTTGTGATCCACCCTGGGCTTTGTGTCTTTGTGACTGGTCTTGTGACTGTACACTTTTGGTTTTGCTTGACACACCTCACTTAGACCATGGGGGTGTGTCAAATGTTGTAGTCTTAGTGATGTGTGTTATAGGGGGTACAACTGTTAGGGTTAGGTTTATGTACCCCAACCAACCTTAGTGAAACCAACACTTTCATTCTTGACATGTGGCACCCATTGAGTGGGTCTTCCGAAGTCAACCCACTCCCTGCAGCTAACGCATCTCGTGAGCACTAGAAGAAACACATTCGGTGGGTTGGGGGCATACAACTACCCCACCACCGTTTTCTTTGAACACACGCGACCTCCAACAAGTATCACACTTTTGGGGCAGTGAGACTGCTTGCACTACTACCATCCAGGCCCAGAGACATGTGGGTGCAGCTTCTCTTCAACCTGCTGCTAGGGCTACTTGTTCCTAGCGGTTGAGGGTTTGGAGTAGCTCTTTTTAGGCGCTCGTTAGGTGTGTGGGGCGGCAGTGGGACTGCCTGCAATGCTGCCACCCAGAGCCCGTGGACACGTGGGTGCAGTGCAGCTGCTATTCAACCTGCTGCTGTGACTGCTCGTGCCGACTGGCTGAGATGCTTCTGAGAGTGTCAGGCTTTTGAGACATGTGGGGTTGTGGGTGACCTACTGCATGCACTGCTGCAGCCGGCCAGGCCCTGTGGACACATGGGCGCAGCTGCTCTTTAACCTGCTGCTGGGGCTGCTGCTGCCCAACGCCTGAGATGCTGAGAGTACTAAGTCGAACACTTCTGAGGCGCCTCAACAGGCATGTGGGGTGGTGGGTGACTGACTGCCTGCAGTACTGCCACCGAAGATAAGTAGTATAACAGTACCATAACCCGTGAAAATGACAGGCTATGCAATGCTGGTAAAGAGGTTTGGGCAATTCCCAAAGCCTAGTTTAACACAACCGTGTACTGCAAATGAATGCTTGCTGGAAGCAGTGCAACGAGCACTAGTGGCTGGTAATGGGCGAAGAAAGGTTGAGGCCCTTTGCTCGTTGTTGTACGCATTGGAGAGGATTACTTGAAAGACAATATAGGAGTGGATTGACTTCCATATATCTTTTGTGATTTTGCATATATAGGGAGGAGATTTTGCAGGATTGCAGCATAGATCCTCCACCGCAATGAAATCCTGATCGATACATCCAAAATATTCAGAGCCGTTTTCAACCCCGTTAAAAATCGATCCTGCGCAGGTTCGATCCTGAAAAATCGCTGGAGGAGCCGCGTCCCTAGGGCGTGCGTCTTTTGGAGTGTCTGTAAAGTTCATGCTATTTTTTTGAACTTACATATTTGAACTCTGGTCGACTTGTAGTCGACTATCTCGAGTTTTGGAGGTAGAATCGCAGCATAACCCTTCGCACAAGCACATGGCACAACAAAGTTCAACGATCAAAGCTAGAATTTTTACAGTACTCATGCGCGCCCTAGGTTCGGAGGTCACCTGGCTGATACGATGTAGTCAGTGACCGAATCCGGCTTCGGTAACGCGGTAAAATGTAGTTCGTTAATGTCGCTGAATTCGCAGCTTCATCGCGCGTGAGTAGAAGAACACACAATTCAATGAACATGCACGTGGAAATTCGACTGCAAGGTCGACCTGAGTTCAGTGTCCTGACGGTTTTCCAAATCCTCCCCAAAATTCACGTCACTCGCAAACATTCCTAACGACATTTACAAGAGTTCGACCCTAGTTTCGAACGCGCCCTTAGCGGTTTTCCTGTCTCATCTGCATCGTCTGAAAGTTTCGAGACTGGGAATGCAACATTGACCGAAATCAGCAGCATTTTGCATGAGAAATGCCACGTCGCACCCTTTCATTGGTCATCACTAACAGTAACTGCCCGAATCCCGACAGGCTGCAACAAAACGAATTCGCTGACACGATTTCCTCCTTCCAAGCATTCCCTCCAATCCCAACACTCCTTTTCCTGACTTCTTCGGTTCCCAGCCAGTTTTCGCTGAAGCTTGTTCCTGTTTTACTTTGCACAACCCCGACTATGTCACGACTCACGAGCCTCTAAATCTGCAACATTTCTGCGCCACGAACGACATAGTCGTCCCGATTGGTTGCAATTCGCGAAGTTTAAGGCGTCTTAACACGTGTACAGTGCGACGGGGCTGTGCATTGGAGTGTGCGTCTAACGTGGCGCGTGTAATTGAGAATTCTCAGAAAACCAGCTTGCAGCGCGTTTAATCTCCGGATTTTAGTGTGTTTTTTTTCGTTTCTTTCAAAATCAGCCCGAATTTGTTGCTTTCAGTCCTCCTAGCGCCATGATGCCTCTGGCCCTCCCAGCGACTTCCGCGACGACGCCAACAAGCAATGTACGACTCCGAGTCGTTTCAGGGCGTTTCACGAAACGTCTTCCACTACCCACGCCCGTCGTCCTGTCTTGCACTCCATACGGCACCCCTAAGTGCCGCCTTCCCCTTCCGCGGCTCGCCTTGGCGCGCGCAGCGCACCAGCTCCGCGCGACGCGCGCGAGCGACCAACTTCGCTGCCGCGCGCCTCGTATCCGCAGGGCGGGATGCGCGCATGCTTCCGCCGCGCGCGGCGGAGGTGAAAGCGCGGAAGGTGCTTATAGTGCGGCTAGCAGCCCGTCGCAGGGGAATGTGACAGTAGTGAAGGAGAGGGAGGGGGAGCAGAGCGGCGGAAGGGGCACAGGAGCGGAAGCGGAGGTGGGGAGCAGAGGGGCAGTGGCGGAGGGAGGGAGTGAGAGAGTGAGTGAGGGAGGGAGTGAGAGTGAGAGGGAGAGGGAGAGGGGGTTGTACACGGAGTTTGTGGAGCATTGTGTGGAGGCCATGGGTCAACACATGCCGCTCTCGCCCATCACCGTACGGGTATGTTATGCGTGCGCTCAGTTTTTGTCTTGCAGCTTCGCATGGTGTGAGGTAATTGCTGTTAGTCCCCTTTCCTTCAATACCTTCACCGTGTTAACCTCTCTCTGTATTATCTAGTTCTTTCCCACCCCCTCTTTTCTCAAATACGTTCAATCTCTCGTTCCCACCCCCTCTTTTCTCAAATACCTTCAATCTCTCGTTCCCACCCCCTCTTTTCTCAAATACGTTCAATCTCTCGTTCCCACCCCCTCTTTTCTCAAATACCTTCAATCTCTCGTTCCCACCCCCTCCCTACCTCCTCCCCTCCCCCCTCCTCCCCCTCTTTCCCCACTTTCAGCCGGATTGGCAGGCTCTGGAGTATAGAGACGGCAGGGGGGCAACAGGAGCGCCTCATCTTTCCTTCTCTCTACCCCACCCCTCCCACCTCGCTTCACACCAGTCGAACTGGCAGGTGACTTTTGAGTAGACTCAAAAGTCACCTGGTTTAGAGACAACAGGGGGGGAACTGGAACGCCTCACGTTTCCTTCTCTCTATCCCCCCCCCCCCCCCCCCCACCTCTCTTTACACCAGCCGGACTGGCATGTGTGGGAGGGTAGTGACGTTGAGGGGGGGGAAATCAACTCAAATATTCTCCTTCTCGCCACCTCTCCCCCTTTTCCCCCTCCAGTCGGGCTGGCAGGTGCTGGAGGGCAGTGACGGCAGGGGGGAGGGGCACTTGGAACGACTCAATATTCCTTTCTCTCCCCTTCCCTCGCTCCCCCCTTTCCCCCGCCAGTCGGACTGGCAGGTGTTGGAGGGCAGTGACGGCGAGGGCGGGAAGGCGTTCTGTCGCAGTGTGGCAGTGAGTGCACCCAAGATCCGCCTCATGCGCTCCGCTGACATCAGCGCTGGGAGAACCCTGCAAGTAAGTGTGGGACCCATGGCAGGTAAGCAGAGCAGTAAGGGGGTTGTGGTGGCTGGAAGCGGTAATAGCATCGTGGCTGGCAGTGAGTGCGCCCAAGATCCGCCTCACGCGCTCCGCTAGTATCAGCGCTGGCCACATGTTGCGTGTGTGTATACTCGCTGCTGCTAGCTGGTGACCTTGTTGTGGTAACAGCGGTAGCAGTGTGGCAGTGAGTGCGCCCAAGATCCGCCTCATGCGCTCTGCTGATATCAGTGCTGGGCGAACCCTGCAGGTGAGTAAGGGAGGCAGGGCAGGGAGCAGCAGAGCAGTAATTTTTTAGGCGCCTAAAAAATCGTCGCAGGTGGGTGCTGGGGTAGGTGGTTAGGACTCTCTGAAAGTGACTCCAATGTGGCAGTGAGTGCCCCTGAAATTCGCTTCCTGCGCTCCACTGATGCCGCACACATGTGCCATTCAGGTGCTGAATCTGATAGCCTCCCCTCGCCCTGAGTACGACCTGCCATACTTCTGTTGGGAGTGCCTTCTAACATCTCATCCCTCCTCCTCCCCCATTTCCACCACACACACACACTCTCGTTGCACGCACAGGTTCTCAATCTGATTGCCTTTCTACAGCCCGAGTATGACCTGCCATACTTCTGTTGGGAGGGCGTTTTAATCTCCTATGTTTCCTCCTCTTCCATCTCCCCCCCACGCACACTCTCCCAATTGGCACTCAGGTGCTCAATCTGATAGCCTTCCCCCGCCCCGAGTACGATCTGCCCTACTTCTGTGCCGACCTTGTCACCTTCCCCAGGGGCCACCTCATCGTGCTGTGAGTGTCCAGTGCAGTGCTCCACGGTAGCCAGCGGTACTGCGTGGTGCCTCAGCGTTACTCAGCGGTACTTCTGTGCCGACCTTGTCTCCTTCCGCCGGGGCTCCCTCATCGTGCTGTGAGTAATCAGTGCGGTGCTCAACGGTGGTCAGCGGTGCGGCGTAGTACCTCAGTGGCACCGCGATGTTCCTGCCAGCCATCTGATTGCCTTCAGATCTAATTAGTCACTGTGTCCCCGCTATTCATTTCTCTACTTGCTGTCTTGTCCTCTTGGTATATCGCATCTCTATCCAGCCCTCCTGTATTCCCACTCCCTTTCTGTTGTGCAGGGATCTGAACCCGTTACATCAGAGTGAGGAGCATTTCAGCAAGTACATTGCGCCCATCATGCCCATCGCCAACAAGTATATTGAGGTAAAGCTGTGAGGTAGTGTGCAGCACTGTGCGGTCGGTACTATGCGGTATGTGTGGATGGTGTGTGTGTTACCAGCATTTCAGCAAGAACACTGTAACCATCATGCTCATATATATTTGTGAGCTAGGGGATGGTACTGTGCGGTGGTGTGCGTTGCTTGTGTTTCTGTCTGAGGAGTATTTCAGCAATTACATTGAACAGAGGTAGTGCTGTGAGGTAGAGAGCAGTGCTGTGTGGTGCTGTGTCTTTCGAGCATTTCAGCAAGTACAAGTACATTGAACCCATCATGCCCCTCGCCAACAAGTATATCGACGTAGTGTTGCGAGGTGCAGCGGTACTGTGCGTTGCTGTATGGCTGGTGCGTGCATGTGCGCATGTGATTTTGCGTGCGTGCATGTGTTTTTATGTCGTTGACAGAGGAATGGCGTTGACAGAGGAATGGCGTTGACAGAGGAAGGAATGGCGTTGAAATCCATTGGAATATAGCATCATTCTCTCTTCCCTCTCCTCTCTTCTCTCATTCCCCCCTCTCCTTTTCCCACCTCTTCTAATCTCCTTGTTTATCCCCCCACCTCACAATACCTTCCCACCAGCGCCTGCCATTGGGGGCCGAGTTCACACCAGAGTCGCTTCAGTTCTTCTCCTCTTCTTCTCCCCACCTCACCGTATTTTCTCCTTGTTCATCCCCCCAACCCCACCCCTTCCCTCCAGCACCTGCCGGGGGATGGCAAGCTAATGGCAGAGTCTCTTCAGTTCTTCTCCCTGGCTCTCATCTGGGCCAAGCTACCTTCAAAGACCTCTCGCAACGTTCCCTCTATCCCCCACACCCCCGAACTCCCTTCCCTCCCTCCAGCACCTGCCATGGGGGGACGAGTTCACAGCGGAGTCCCTGCAGTTATTCTCACTTCAGTTCTTCTTATCCCCTCCCCCATCTTCCCCACCTCATCCCCGCCCCCGTCTTCCATCACCCCCTACCAGCACCTGCCATGGGGCGGTGAGTTCACAGCGGAGTCTCTTCAGTTCTTCTCCCCGGCGCTCATCTGGGCCAAGCTGCCTTCGAACACCTATTGCCGCGTTCCTTCTCACCCCCCAAACCGAGCACACACCCTTCCCACAACACCCTCCCTCCCACCACCAGCATTTACCATGGGGCGGTGAGTTCACAGCGGAGTCCCTTCAGTTCTTCTCCCCGGCTCTCATTCAGTCTGGGCCAAGCTTCTCTGTAACGCCCTCTCACAACGTCTGCCCCCCCCCACCACCGCCAGCACCTGCCATGGGGCGGTGAGTTCACAGTGGATTCCCTTCAGTTCTTCTCCCCGGCTCTCATTCAGTCTGGGCCAAGCTTCTCTGTAACGCCCTCTCACAACGTCTGCCCCCCCCCCACCACCACCAGCACCTGCCATGGGGCGGTGATTTCACAGCGGAGTCCCTTCAGTTCTTCTCCCCGGCTCTCATTCAGTCTGGGCCAAGCTTCTCTGTAACGCCCTCTCACAACGTCTGCCCCCCCCCACCACCACCACCACCTGCCATGGGGCGGTGAGTTCACAGCGGAGTCCCTTCAGTTCTTCTCCCCGGCTCTCATTCAGTCTGGGCCAAGCTTCTCTGTAACGCCCTCTCACAACGTCTGCCCCCCCCCACCACCACCAGCACCTGCCATGGGGCGGTGAGTTCACAGCGGAGTCCCTTCAGTTCTTCTCCCCGGCACTCCTCTGGGCCAAGCTACCTTCGAAGACCTCTCGCAACGTTCTCTCTATCCCCCACACCCCCGAACACCCTCCCTCCCACCACCAGCACCTGCCATGGGGCGGCGAGTTCACAGCGGAGTCGCTGCAATTCTTCTCCCCGGCTCTCCTCTGGGCCAAGCTGCCTTCAGAGCCCTCTCACAACGCTCCCTGCCTCCCCCCAAACCCCCACAACCACCCCCCCTCAGCACCTGCCATGGGGCGGCGAGTTCACAGCGGAGTCTCTTCAGTTCTTCTCCCCAGCTCTCCTCTGGGCCAAGCTGCCCCTTGATGCTGACGTCACTGCCCACGTGCTGCCCGCTTTCAAGGAGTACTTGCAGGTGCGTGGGTGGCTGACGGTGGAGTGCGTAGATGTGGAGAGCGTGGGTGTGGAGAGCGTGGATGTGGAGAGCGTGGTGGATTTGTGTGAAAGATGTGATTGCAGTGGGGTGTGAAATTAGAGAGTCATTGCTAGAGGAGGCATGCTATAGTGAGGCCGTTCTTGAGGGCTTCCCAACAGTGACCGCCCACATGCTGCCCGCCCACATGCTGCCCGCCCACATGCTGCCCGCCCACATGCTGCCCGCACACATTCTGCGCGCCCACATGCTGCCCGCCCACATGCTGCCCACCTTCAAGGAGTGCCTGCAGGTACGTGGCTGACTCTAGAGCGTGTGATTGCAAGGAGTGTGATTGCGGGAAGTGTGACTGTGGGTAGTGTGATTGCAGGGACTGGAATACTGAGAGTGCAATGATGAGAGTGGAATGTTGAGATTGGAATGTTGAAAGAGGAATGTTGAGATTGGAATGTTGAAAGAGGAATGTTGAGAGTGGGGATGGTCAGGGTATGGTGGAGGCATGTGAGAGTTTACCTGCCGTTTCTCCTTCCTCCTTCCCGTTCCTCCTTTTTCCTTCCTCTTTTCCCCTCTCCCCTTTTTCCTTCCTCCTTTCCCTTTCCGTACCTTAACCCCCCCGTCCCCTCCGCACTGCAAGCAGGCATGGCTGCGCATGGTAGAAACATGTGAGCCCACAACCGACCCAGCAGTGATGGCGCACAACATGGAGTCGCAGCACCGCTACATCTGCTGGCGCTCTGTCAAAGTAAGGGCCTTGCTTGCTTCCTTGTTGCTGGCTGCATGCTTGCTCTTGAGTGGATTCAGCAGTCACCGGCGACCCAGCAGTGATGGCGCACAACATGGAGTCGCAGCACCGCTACATCTGCTGGCGCTCCGCCAAGGCAGGGCCTTGCCTGCTGCTTGCCCTTGCTTGCTGCTTGCCCTTGCTTGCTGCTTGCCCTTGCTTGCGTGCTTTGGGGTTTGATGTGGAATTTACGATTTATGTTTCTTCTGCTGTTCTGTTCGGTGTTTCTGCTTTGGTGCATACCTGCTTCACCCATATCTCATGGGTCTTCCTTTCATCTGCCATACTCCCTCTCTTTTTTCTCCCCTTCTTTTCTGTCTCCCTCCTGCTCACTCTCTCTATCCTTTCTCTCTCTGTGGACACACAGTCGCTTATTCATCATTCACACTCACTCATTCACACGCTCATTCACACACTCGCTTATTCACACACTCACTCAATCACACAATCACTCACTCACACACTCACTCATTCACCCACTCATTCGTTCACCCTCTCCTGTTCAGGACCCCGGCCGGCCCCTCTTGACGCGCCTGTTTGGTTCTGAGAGATGCGAGGTGAGCTCCCCAGTTTTTTTGGGACGTCTCAAATACTACTTTTATTGCGTGAGCTCTTCAGTTGATTGAGGAATATAGGTGCCTCTGACTTCTGACAGTTGCGAAGTAGACTTGCGGTTCTGGGCTTCAGTCTCCTTCCATCTTATTTCAACTCTTAGGTTTCACTGCTACCCTCTTTCTTTGTCTGCACTGCCCCTGCTTTGTATGATGTGCTGTGCCGAGATTCCTGTTTCACTCGTCTAGAAAAACACCACTGCAGCATCCCTTTCTTGTCCCTTACAGATCTTTCCAGAATCCTTTCTGTTTCTGCTTAGACTCTTTCCACGCTCATGGTCTCTCAATCTCCCCTCCCCCCGTCCTACGAATTTCTTTCCATTCCAACACCCGCTGCCAGGAGGTCATCGAGGGGTTCCTGTTTGCGGGGTCGCACGAGCTGGGCACCAAGGGCCTCCAGGACTATTCTGCTGTATTCCTTAACCCTCCACCCCCCAAACTCCCTCACCCCCCAAACCCCCCCTCCATCCCTGTCCTGCCACGAGGTCATTGAAGGGTTCCTGTTTGGGGGGTCTCACGAGCTGGGTACCAAGGGGTCCCAGGACTATTCTGCTTTATTCCTTAACCCTCCACCCCCCACCCGCCAACCCCCCACCCCTCCCTCCCAATCCCGCCAGGAGTTCATAAGGATTCCTGTTTGCGGGTCCCATCAGCCGGGCAGCAAGGGATTCCAGGACTATTCTGCTGCACCCCTCAACCCCCCCCAACCCCCCAACCTCCCACTCCGCCAGGAGTTCATCGAGGGGTTCCTGTTTGCGGGGTCGCACGAGCTGGGCAGCAAGGGGTTCCTGGACTATTTCCCTGATTACCGCCAGGAGGATGGCAGCATCGCCAAGAAGCGGTCCATGAAGGGCAAGGCGTACAGCAGTCGACCGTGGGATGCACATGGCAAGCTTATCTTTTGACGAGGTGACTTAGAGTCGACTCAAAAGACTGTTACCAGGAGGATGGCAGCATCGCCAAGAAGCGGTCCATGAAGGGCAAGGCGTACAGCAGTCGACCCTGGGATGCACATGGCAAGCTTATCTTGTGAAAGAATTGAGGAGAAAATTGTTGGAAACGTATAGTTCGCGCTTCTGATGTGTCGAACAATACAATGTAAGTGAAGCGAACTACAGCGAAGTAACAGCGAGTCAACCAAAGCGGTTGACAAAAAGCAACAGCAAGAGGTTAAGCGAAGGTCAGAGGTCAGCGACGTTTGACTTGCCGAAAGCAGCGAGACAGTTAAGGACACATAACTGACTCACTATTGAGCAGTTACCCGAGTCGTCGCAGTATCGAACCGAAACAGCAGTTACAGTTAGTTAAACCTTTCATATTCCCTGTAATCATATAAAGCCATGTACCATCAGGTCCCGGATAGTAGCGCCCCTGGGGGTATAAAAAAACACTGTTTTTTAGGGGGTGCGCTTATAATCGAGGAAATTTATAAGCGTCGGCGTTTATAAAAATGGCAAAACGAATTTCTATCTGTTTTACACCAAACTGTAGATCTCGTTCTGCCAATTGTAATCGAGTCGAAAACATATGGGGTCGCGAATCTGATTCTCGCGCAGCTTGGCAGGGAGTGATTCCCTGCCAACTCAAACTGACAGAATGACAGCACATGCTGACTAGACGCGCAAAAGTTGAGATCACAGTGTGGGAAATCGAGTTTGTAGTTCGTTTCACTGATAATGTGAAATTCGTTTCTGCATTTCGTCAGGTTTTCAAATGAAAAAAAAACATGCGCTTACCGGTATAATAAATCATCTTTTTTTAGGGGGTGGGCTTATAATCGAGGACCGGATATAAGCGCCGTCATCCTTTTATAAGCGCCGGCGCTTATCCGAGGCCTGCGCTTCTATCCGGGGCCTTACGGTATCTCTTAGTTATTATTAACTTTTCTTGTTCTCACACACCAGTGCAATGTGGTTCAATCAGCATATACTAAACACCTCCACTAATATTATAAAATTTAAACAGTGTTTTAAAAAATTGTGTATTGTGAAAGCGAAGCTGCTTGCATTGCACAATCGGCATCGTCGAAGCGCGCTAAACGCCATCCTCCAACTACAAAAACCGTGGGTTGGAGCTCATTTCCCTCCACCCACGTTTCTCTATTTTCAAACGGCTCACTCAACATTCCCACCACCACCCACCCCAGCGTAAACCGTTTCGCGCATGCCACTTGGATAAGGTATATCGTACCTAGTGATATGAGCATGCACTAGCTTCTGTTCAATTGTGATGCAAATGTTGTAAACAGCCATTTGTAATGAGAGCGATGCCAATTGATAAGAAAAAAAAAGCAAGCTTTCTCAATTTATCATTATTCTGAGTCTTAGTCTTGAAAACGACCCTAAGGGCTTTTCTCAGCCCAACAAAAATAAAGTTTCTGTTCCTGTAAAATATGGCTCTAGTTCTTAACTGTACTCTACACAAAGCCACCGAGCAGTGCCCTAGATATCAGACTTTGGAGTCTGAATCAGAGTCCGTTCAGACTTTTTTTTTGTACCTAGTCTGAACTCAAAGAATTTATTTATGTACCTTGTCTGATTTTCCAGAGTTTTTTCTTATGAGTTGTCTGAAATTTCAGCCTAATTTTACTAGGGTAGGCTGAGCCTCAGACTTGTATCGGGGGTACACTCTGCGCGCTTATCGGAGAAAAGTTTCCTGGAAGTTTCCTTCCGATATGCCCACTTCGGAGATGGCAGTGGAGTGCCAGGACGTGAGCAACGCTCACTTCGACAGCTGGGACATCCAAATACACTCGTTCGTCGAGAATATCTTCCAGTTACGCTGAGGAAATGGTTGCGTGATTACGAGATTTCTGAAGACAAAATCTCGTCACATGTAAGTTATCGCTAATGTATCGTAAAGAATAGGTGACTTTGATGCTGATTCGCTGTAAAAACATCTGCAGCACGCACTGGTGTGAATTGCGAAGTTCCTGATTCGTACTGAAAGTTTCGTGTGGCACTGTGTGATCCTCACATGCCACGCCAAGCAACAGTTTCTGCCTGCTGCCAGCTCAGCTGCGTGGCACTTGGCCCACCTGATACAGATCGGGTGAACGATCGAATCGCTTGAAAAGCAAATCCAAAACTGACAAAATGGGTACAGAACGGTAATCACACACACGACAAAACGAAATGAGACCAGCAGAGCAGAAACAACCATGCGCTGCACGTGACAAAAACACTGGAACGCCGCCGACATGAGCAGAGGCGATGCACGAGCACGAGCACGAGCACGTTGCCTGATGCGTTGGTATGGTAGGCTGTAATCAGCCTCAATGCTATTATAACTGCTTTTACGAAACTGCATGAACATCTTAAAATTTGAAGTAACTCTGACAGTTCAGACAAAAAAATTTGTGGTTGTCTGAATTTTCAGACTAAAATTTTGAGGCACCTCTGACAGACAGAGTTCCAGGAGGGGTGTACTCTGAGGCCTCAGACTACCTCAAAACGAATCTAGGGGCCTGCCACCGAGCCTTCTTATTAGGGCTACATGGCTCTTTTGCGTTAGTGCACTTACCTTGAGTGAATACCTAATGGTTTGAGATAGCAACTCTAAAACAAGCAGCAAACAAAACATTGTTGACAGACACCATGTTACAGCAAAACAACTAATGCACAACACAAACACATATGATTACAGTTTATTGTCGGTTCCCCTTCACTTGGTCACAGCTGCTGCCCGTGCAGCCTCCCTCTCCTTCCTAGCCTCTATCGCAGCTGCCTTCTCAGCCTGCTTCTTCTTCTTAGCCTCAATTGCAGCCGCCTTTTCTGCCTGCTTCCTCTTCTTCTCGGCAACAGCAGCATCCTTCTCTTCCTGTTTCTTCTTCTTCTCAGCAATAGCAGCCGCTTTTTCCTCCTGCTTCCTTTTCTTCTCAGCAATAGCAACAGCCTTAGCTTCCTGAAGCCTCTTCTTCTCAGCAATAGCAGCCGCCTTCTCCTCCTGCTTCTTCTTCTTCTCTGCAATCGCCACAGCTTTCGCCTCCTGCTTCGCCCGCCGTGCCTCCACAGCAGCATGCTTAGCAGCCGCAGCCTGCTTCTTAGCAGCAACAGCAGCCGCCCTCCTTGCTGCTGCTTCCTTCCTCTGCCTCGCCACCTCCTCAGCGCTCAGCACAACAACAGTTCCTCCAGATGACCCAGTTGAACCCCCACTGCCGGCACCGGGGGTAGCAGTAGGAGTAGGAGGAGTAGGAGGAGCAGGAGGCGCAATAGTGCCGCTTCCAGAAGAGCCCGATCCAGTTTCAGCAGGAGGAGGAGGAGGAGGAGGAGGAGGAGGAGGAGGAGGAGGAGGAGGAGGAGGAGTAGTGGTAACTGCGCCTGTTCCACCCCCAGCAGGGGGAGTCACAGCACACGTCGCCGCCCCTTCGTCACTCCCATCATTGCAATTCACCGTCCCATCGCAAAACAACCCCTCTGCAACGCACTGCAACCCATCCGCACACTTCTTAAACCCCTCGGGGCAACTATACCCTCTACAAAACGCCTTATTCTCGTCCTCCGCCTCAGCAGTCGCAACACAGTCCTGCACGCCATCACAAAGAGTCCCCCACGCGCAGTAGAACGTCTTGGGGCACTGAATCATCCCGAATGAGCACACGTGGTTCTTGCAATTCGCCTCGTCGTGCCCGTAGCACGTCTCGTAACCGTCGCAGTAATCCTCCTGGCGCAGGCACGCGTAGCGGTCGGAGGGGCACTGCTCGAGCCCCTGGTCGGCGCAGTAGTTGCTGTCGTCCTGGTAGCCCGGCCGGCACTGCCGCCCCTCGTCGCTGCCGTCCGCACAGTCCGGCACGCCGTTGCACTCGCTGCCCGGGGGCATGCAGCCCGTGAGCGAGGGGCACGACACCTGGCGGACCCAAAGGGGAAACGAGGGAAAAGGAGAAAAAAGGAAAGGGTTGGGGGAAAGAGTTGCGGCTGTCTGCGCAGTCCGCCACGCCGTTGCACTCGCTGCCCGGGGGCATGCACCCGGTGAGCGTGGGACAGGACACCTGGTGGGGGAAAGGGTGGGAAACAGCAGGAAAGGGGAGGGAAGAAGACCCTGTGAGTCTGACTAGTAGAACACCGCATTTCTTAGACGCTTCAAAAACAGGCATGCAAAAGCAGTGAGCGTGGAGCAGAAGACCTGTGGGGGAGAGGGGAAAGGGGTGGGAAGGAGTTGCGGCTTTGGGCCTGACTCTGAAGCACCGTATTTCTCAGGCGGGCGCCTCAACAATGGGCATGCCAGTGAGCATTGGGCAGGACACTTGGTTAAACCAGCGCAGAAGTAAGCGAACAAGGAAACAGGGGCGGGATTTTTTTGCTTGAAGCCTGAGTCTGAAGCACTGCCGCCTTCGAGCCCGGCTCGCCGTCGTCGGTGTGGGGCCGACCAGCGTGGCACACTGAGGCTTGCCAGGGAAGTGAGAAACCGGGCAGGAAGAATGGGCAGAGAAAACAGTTATGTGAAATCCAAAGTTTGTCGAGTCAGAAAGCGAGGAAGGAAAGCGGCGTTCAGGAAGCGGCGGTGCCACCGAGATCCGAAGTTTGAAGCAGCACGCACGCACCTTGCGAACGAGCTCGCAGTCGAACTCGCGGCAGAAGTCGGGCGACTCGTCGCTGCCGTCGGAGCAATGCGGCTTGCCGTCGCACACCTGCGACTCGTGCATGCACCCGCCGCCACTGGGGCAGTTCAAATTCCCCTGCTCCTCATGGCATTCCTCAGGGGGTTCCAACCACGGCTGGTAGTCGGAATAGTCGTTAAGGCCCCGCCGCGCGAGATTCTCGGAGCGGCCGGCGCCGCCAACGCGGCGCACCGCTGGTCCAGTGGCGGCGAGGAGAGCGCTGATGGTGGGTCGAGCTGCGGCGTCCGTCGACGCTGAAAGGATGAGGAGGAGGAGGAGGAGGAGGAGGAGGAAGGGGAGCGTTGTCGCGGCGGCAGTGCTGCGGCCGACCCCGTCGTATGCGGGACGTTTTGTCGCCATTTCTCCAAGCCAGACAGACAAGTCTTTTAAGATGTGTCAAAAGCTTTTGCTGCGTTGATCGTTCCAGGTAACTCGCAAGAGTTCCAATGACGGCACTGAACTGAATCGCATCACACAAGCAGAGCTGCAAAGCGAGGGGTGGCATGATGGTGTGGAAGAGGACGCGAGACGAGGCAAGAGGACCAGCGCCGTGCGCTTCCGACCTTGCAACTGCGCGCATGATGTTCCGCGAGTGAGCGGATCCGCCTATCTGCTCCTCGCTGGCAGAAAGTCGGAAACCCTAGATTCGCTCAGCTGGGATTCAGCCTGACTTGAATGCGATCATGCGACGGAATGCGATGCCTACGATAACTACCTGTCACAGATGCGGGCGGAGTGCTGGCGGAACGAGACGCACCCGCAGTTACACGGGCAGGTTGTTTCCGAAATAGCGGCTCGCAACAGAATGGCGAGGCCTAGGTTCACTGGTGTCTACTGAGGTCAAGGGTTTGGCTGGTGCAGGCAGCAAACTGGTATGGAGGATTGAGCGGAAGCGGTCGTGGGGGGAAATAGGGCTTCGGAATGGGCGGAAAGGGGAGGGTTTGGAGTCTGTACATGTACTGTACACGTGACTACTTTATGTACAGTAAGCAGTTGTGAGGCGGTCAAATGCCCTGCACAGTAAACGATTGATTCCAGGTGGGTTGCAGGTGGACCAGGCCTGACCAGATGGTGTGTGGATGATCACATTTCTAGTGGAACTCGTTTCATGCTACACCTATATAGTGGGGAAAATATGCGACTGGTAACATATATGAGGCTCAATAACGCGTGTGGTAACCATTACAGTGTATTTTCACGCATTTGGTAACTCGATTCATGCGTTTGGTAACTATACAATGGCAAGCGATCACACGAATGGTAACTAGACGATTTTTTTTGCCCAAAATGACCCTGATTCTGGGTTTTCCCGCCCGCGCCAGATTAAATTGACGAATCCTGACGCACAAAGGTATGACACACTTTAAAAAACACCGGGCAATTTACGCACGAGTAACGGTATTGAAATCATTTGTACGCATTCAATGAATATTTCAGCGCTTGTTTGGTATATTCTTTGTACCTGATTGTATCGCACAACAGGGAGAAAATTATAAACCCATTTCGGATGGGAAGTGATCCTTCGAGCACCAACCCTACTAAACACCTTGCGACAAGGCGTTTAGGGTTTGTTTCCAAGAAAAGGCATGCCATTCGGGAGGGGTATATTTTTCTCCCGCCCGTAAGACCATCCCACCATTACAATAAATACATTTTTTTAATTGATAATTTCGTCGCCTTTACAAGAAAGCTTGATCACTCAGCGAGCTTAAAAGAGATATGAGATGGCTCCATTTTTTTTTTTCGGTAGTAAAGGTTATACAACAAACACGATCCTTTCAAAGTCACTGCTAGAATCGTTCAAGAAATTTAAAACGGTGCGTATTTATTTTTGAACAAAACATATTTATCGAAGTCATTATTGAGGAGATTCACTCTACTTAGAAGAAACAAGGGTGAATGAACTATGAATGAATTGGGTACAAGTACTAACCCTAATTGGGTTGTACCCCTTATGGACTGCCCCACTATAGCCTACACAATATGCATGAGCTATAATGTTCTGACACACCCCCATAGGCAAAGTGGGGGAGAACAAGGGGTCACAAGACCAGTCAAGCAAAGCAAAGCAAAGCAAGCTCAGGGTGGATCACAAAGTCACCACACATTCCGAGCACAAGTTCAAGGCCACAAGGCCAGTTCACATGCAGGAGTACATATATATAAAAAAGGCTAGACAAGCAAGAGCAGGTATATATATGTGTAACAGTACAAGCAAGGTCAAGAGGTGAGCAAGTGAGGCAAGGTAGGCACAAGGCCCAGCTGAGTACAGAAGCGCTGATGGTCACAAGGCGCAAGCGCCTTGGTGAAGATATCAGCAGTGTTGGCCTCAGAGGCCACGTACGCAAGACGCAGCTGACCACGCTGCTGCAGCTCACGAGCAAGAAAGTAGCGGAGAGCAATGTGCTTCGTTCTGTGCTCCAGTCGCTGCTCCCGACACAAGGCCAGCATGGCCTTGTTGTCTACGTACAGCACTGGAGGAGAACGAGGCAACTCTCCGAGGTCAGTCAGCAGGTAGGTGAGCCAGCGAAGCTCCTGTGCAGCCATGGCTCCTGCGTAGATCTCAGCCTCACAACTGGAGCCGAGAACAGAAGACGAGCGAGTAGCCCGCCACGAAACAGAGCCGGAACCAAGGCTGAAGGTGTAACCCTGTGACGACCGCTGCGTAGCCTGGTCGTCAGCCCAAGAAGCGTCTGCGTGCCCAGTAAGGACCACTGGACTCTGCCCTCCAAGCACCAGCCCCATGCCCGACGTACTGCACAAGTAGCGCAACACCCTCTTCGCTGCAGCCATGTGCTCCGGTCTGTGTCTCCCAGGAGCAACATAGCGTGCAAGAATGCTAAGAGGGTATGCAAGGTCAGGTCGTGTGCAGGTCATCAGGTACATGAGGCAGCCAACAAGCTCTGGGTACGGGCCACTCGACTCTACGGACTCATCCGAAGGCAGAGCTGAGAGCGAGTGGCGAGTAGGCAGAGGACTGGCCTGAGGCGAGGAGTACGTGAAGCCGAAGCGCTGAAGGACCTGCTGCACCATGTGTGACTGAGTCAGGGTAATGGTGCGGCGTGCTCTGTCCCGAGTGATCTGCAAGCCAAGGTAGCTGCGCAGTTCACCCAGGTCAGTGCACGTGTGTCTCTTCTGCAGCTCGGACTTCACGTGGGCTAGTCCTGCAGTGTCAGCTGTGGCAAAGACCAAGTCGTCGACGTACACGAGGATGTAGAACGGCGGCAAAGAAGTGTCGGTGCGCAGAAACAGCGACGGGTCGGCAGTAGAGGGAGCAAACCCAAGAGCCGCAAGTGTAGTCCTCAGTGTGTCGTGCCACTCACGCGGTGCCTGGCGGAGACCGTAGACTGGCCGCCGTAGGCTCCACTGGGTGCCAGGAGGAAAAGACCCAGTGAAGCCAGGTGGGCGACGCAGCCAGATCTCCTCGTGCAGGCTGCCCTGCAAGAAAGCAGTGCTGAAGTCAAGAGAGTGTAGCTCGTAGTCACGGTGAGCAGCTACGTGCAGCAGTACCCGAAGAGTGGTCATCTTCGGGGTGGGAGAGAAGGTCTGAAAGTAGTCAACTCCCTGCCGCTGACTGAAGCCACGAGCCACGTAACGCGCCTTGAAGACAGGCGGAGAACCCGGCGGTCGCTTCACCCTGAAAATCCACATGCCACTGACGATGTTCGCCCCAGGAGGGGGAACAGCGTCAACATAGGTGCCTGTGGACTTCCAGGAAGCCATCTCTGCGTCCATAGCTGCCTGCCACTGAGAGGAGTAGGGACCCTCTATCGCCTCCGCGTAAGAGCGCGGAGTCGGGATGTCAAGTGCTTCCGGGTCTCCCTCAGGGTAAGCAGTACGGACACGAGATGAGGTGAAGCAGCAGCCAAGCACTGGAACTCCTCCTGCCTGTCCTCAAGGACGTCCGTGCCAAGGGCACACTCACCCCCGACGGACGGAGGACAGACAGACTCAGACTCAGCAACAAGACTGGCGACGTAGTCTAGGAGACAGCGAGCAGCAAAGTCGACGAGCTCAGCAACTAGGGCAGACGTAGCAGTGGACTCAAAGGAAGGGTCAGTGACAACAGTAGCAAGGAGACGCGTGACAGTAGGACTGGCAGCATGAAGAGAGTCCGACTCCGGGTCGGCAAGAGCAGGAAGAGAAGACTCAGGAGGAGAAGGCAAAGGGGCACGCAGAGGAGCAGTGGACGGACGCAGAGACATCCGGTGCGTGCCAGGGACAGGAGGAGGACGCTGACGCGAACCGCGACCACTAGTGCGAGCAGCACGGACAGGCGACGCAGGGCGAGACGCAGGCTCACGACGCTCAGCAAGACCTCCAGTAGGACCAGTGTAGGGAGACGGAGCAGGCAGTGGGGAGGCCGGCTGTAACTGTAACTGCGACGGGACAGGCTGTGGACACTCTAAGGGAGGAGGAGGACCAGTGGAAGGCGGGAGACCAAGAACCTGCTGAAGGAGCGGAACGAAGTACGGCCGAGGCCGCGCGGCGACTCCAGACACAGGAGGGACAGCACCAGCACCCGTAGCAGCTCCAGCTCCAGAACCCCCAGCAGCACCAGTAGTACCCCCAGCAGGACCGCCTCCAGGACCGACAGCAGTAGCCTCCGCGCCAACACCCGCAGCAACTCCAGCTCCAGAAGTACCCGCAGGTCCAGCAGCTCCAGTACTCCCAGTACGAGCACCTCCGGGACCCGTGGCACCAGCTCCCTCAGCAGCAACAGAACCTCCAGTACCCGCAGCACCTCCAGCTCCAGCAGCTCGCTTCCAGCGCCGGGCAAACCACTCACGCAGCTCCTGGGGAGAGAGTGGCTCCCGGCGAGAAGGAGCACCCGGAGAACTGCCAGGCACAGCACCACCAGGCGTAGCACCCCCAGGCTCAGCACCTCCTGGCGTAGTACCCCCAGGCTCAGCACCCCCAGTCGTAGTACCCCCAGACTCAGCACCCCCAGACTCAGCACCCCCAGGCTCAGCACCCCCAGGCGTAGCACCCACACGCTCAGCACCCCCAGAGTCAGCACCCCCAGGCTCAGCACCCGCAGCAGCACCAGAGTCACCAGCGACCTCGACAGGCTCAACAGCGTCTACCTGGGACACACCTGAAGGGGCAGGACCCTGAGGGGGGAGGGGGTCTACCGGGGGGGGACCTGGTACAAGGAAGAGTGGTGGCGGGGGGAGGGACGGAGTGCGGTAGGGGAAGAGGCGGTAGTAGGGGACCGACTCGTCGAACGTGACGTCCTGGGAGGACAGAACACGGCGAGAGGTGGGGTGGTAGAACTGCCACCCTGGGGCGTCAGGGGGGAAACCCAGGAAGACGCAAGGAGCAGCACGAGGGGACAGCTTGTCCGCAGACAAGTCGCG